TGCTCTTAACTTTCTTGGGTTCATGTATTGATCACATATATGAATACACAGATATGATGTGAAATATTAATATAAACACTGTGTGTACCAGGTGTGCAGCCTCACCCAGCATGTTGCCGTGTTAGATGGGCAGCTGGACAGAGCTCACAGAGACAAGAGCTCACTGACCAATCAGCCGGAAAACACTTGTCGCAATCTTAAAGATCAGGAAGAAGACCATGCCGAGGTACAGTGTGTTCAAGAAAGCATTAAGTGAACATGTATCCTTAGATTTCATTGGGACGTAGGTTGCCCCTAGTTTCCACCGAGTACTTTGAATTAACATCTTACAGATTTAGTATAAAACGGCTGAAGTGAGAGGTTGAAATGCTGCTAGACCAGTACTTAAAATGTTGGCTATAGTTTTGAAGGAACAAGGGGTAAAGATCAGCCCTGATACTCGGTTGCGGTTTGTGTTGTCTACTTGTAATGCCACTATTAATCCACTAGATGGTAGCAAAGTTTTATCAAAGTCAAGATTTGTTTTCACGAAGGACCGAGAGGATCAACTCAACATGCATAAAACATAAAGACATTTTATTATTTGGCTTTAACTGAAAGTTGCATTTCAGCAAATCTGATACCAAGGGGAAGTGTTAAAAATGTCAGGTTTAGTTTCTGTTCCATAGTTGGCCCTGATTTATTATTTCTTGGTCACAAGCTTATATCACAACCATTAAGTGCTTTTATTTTTTTGGTTTATGATCAGTTATAAAAATAAAGGTGGCACATAGTGAATGAATGTGTAATAACTATGGTAAAAGTAGCCAAATAGATCAGTATTGTAACATTCTGTGTTTAGCTCAGGGAACTTTTGCCTCGAGAAAATCATTAACCTGAAATCTGCAAATGATGAAGGAAGGGACAGGAAGTGATACGCGTTGATAATCATCTCTAGGTGTATTCGGACCTGCAATATCGACTCACCCAGTTCAAGATGAAGAAAGATACAGAGGGAGAGCTCAGCGAGCTCAACATCAAGACCAGCAGTCAGATAGAAAAGGGTGCATTGGTAAGTCTGAATTTGTATCTGTCTGCAGATGTGTTAGTTGATTTTATATTAACAAATGAACAGTTAAGTTGATGCTGCTTTTTTAAGGAAGCTGTACTGAGGTTTGAGATGCATCAAGATGCCCTCAAATATTATATCCAAACTTTTAATATTATCCCAAATAATTTGAAAGCATCAATTATCCAGGTTGTCATGTGGAAATGATTACGTCAGCAAGATAATTCCTTTTTTTTTTTCCAATGATGTAAAATATATGCAATAAAGATATGATTTACTCTAATATTTCAAATTATAGTTTATTAATATTTAAATCACGCCCTTGTTGACCTTTACATGAGGTTGTAATCAGCCTCTGACATTGTGCGTGTTTGAGGGCATAAGGTGGATTGTTGTGAAAGAGTTCCCCACCCCCTCTTCCCTTCTTTCCTCCATCTCTGCGGGACAGGAAGTGCGAAAGCTGAGTGCAGAGCTGGTTGGCTGTCGGAAGCATCTGGGGGTGGTCCAAAAGGACAGGAGCCAATGGCAGGACAAAGCCCTGAGCCTATCAGAAGAGCTGGCAAAGGCCCAGCGCCAACTGCACCTCACCAGGTAGGACCTAATCCTATTATACATGCCACCACACTCATACACACACACACACACACACACACACACGACGCTCCCCTCTGCCCAGCTTCTGCCCAGCTCAGCCCAGTCTAGTCCAGTTCAGACCAGCACACCAACTGTACCGCACCAGGTAACAGCTAATCCTATTATACAAACCACATACACATAAACACACATGCCCGCTGCTGTGCCATGGTCCCGGTACCAACTGGACCTCACCAGGTCACCTCTAATCCTGTTAAGCATGCCACAACATAATGCAACACACACACACTGCTTGCTCTGTGCCACTAGGCCGGTGTCCAGCCCAGCAACAGCTCCAGCAGAGCCAAAATGGCGCCTGAGTCTTTCTTCTGTCCCTGGCGCGCACACACACATAAACACACACATATATACACACAGAACGGTGTGGCTGATGGTGACTGGACAGCCTGGCCTCAGAGCCACCTGCCAGTGCCCTGTACCCATTCTCACGACGGGCGCTACCGGCTGCCCCCCACCCCCCACCTCCATCTCCTATCTCATCTTTCTTTCTATTTCTGATTCTTTCTATCCCATTTTTCCCGTCTCCCTCTATCATTCCCTCTGTTCTCTTTTTCTATCTTTTCTACATGCAGCTCTTTTGTTTTCATATAACTTTGCTGTTCTCCATGTTTACCCTCACTGTCCTTATCTTTATTAGTATCATCCTCTCTTTGCTTATTCTCTATTTTCCATTATCTCTTAACCTCTCCTGCCCTCCTGTATTCCCCCCTTCTCCTTCCCTCCATCCATCCACTGGCTGCTATTCCCTTCCACACCATCCACTCACAGGGCCATGCCAGCCCATGCCAGCCGCCCAGGGCACTCTCTCACCCCTGCTGCCCACAGCCAAGGTGTCTGAGATGGGCACAGATGTGGCAGCGGTGTCCTGTGGTGCTAAAGGCTGCAGGAGGCAGGATAGTGTGTGTGTGGGGTTGTGTACTTGTTTTAATGTGTCTGTCAGCCTGGTGGTATGTCCAATGCAGTTTGTCCACTGCTGCTCCTGGCTCTGATCTGTGTTTAAGTGAGTTTTTCTGTCAGCTGGCCAGGGCGAACACGCTGGCTGCATGGCGGCCCGTCGTGTGTTTAAGGGATGAAGCAAGGGCTGTGTGTGTTTGTGTGTCTGTGTGTGTGCATATTTTGCAGCCAGCTGTGGAGAATGACATGCATATTAATATGGCAACATGATGACTTTGACCTGTGCTAGAGGAGCCACTGGACTAAACCATTTTACTGCCATGTGTGCGGGTGTATGTGCATGAGAGAGTTCATAGTTTTATCTGTCCGCAGATGCAAACGGGATGTTTGACAGCTGTTGACTTGGCTGAGCATGCGGCCATTAAATTCAATTTTGGTTATTAGCAGTAAAAGCCACTTTTGATATGAATTCAATTTGTAAATGTAACAGTTCAAAGTGAGAAGAATCAATAACCTGTAGTGATGAATGTGTTAATGTGAAAATCAGTAGATAGTGATGAAGTTAAATAGGAGATAATAAAAATAGCCTGCAGGTATTTATTCTATTTTTAAAGAACTACTTTTAAGTGTGGGTTGTATTTAGGAATAGATTAATGTAAGCATAGTGAGAAGAGTTGAGATTTATATTATATTATCTGACAAGCACTTTACTTGAAGTGTGCTGATGCCTTTTACATAAATTACACACAAATGACATCTTTAGCTTTAGAGCAGCTACTGGTCATCACTAGTTCACTTAATATTATTTTCCTCATTACATGAGTTGCTCAGCGTGGTGAAAACTGAATCAGAGAAAGGGCTGCTGAG